TTCACTGAACAATGACAGGAAGATTTGTATTCATTTCCTTGCCGCTTTTTGAGTTACTCTAGCAATTTACATGCTCGAAAAGGGCCTGCACTTCCTTGCTTGTGAAGATAACACCTAGTATTCCGAGGGAGGCACACAGAGAAACCCAACAGGTGTCAGCTCCTTGTCCATTGCAATCCATTTCTCTCCAGGAGCCGCCATAATCCTTCTTAAGCATAAATCGGATCAGGTTACTCTCCAGGTTAAAACCCTTACTGGCTTCCCACTACATTTAGCATAAAAGTATAAATGTGCAACTTTCCCTGCAAGGCCTTTCTGGCTGTGCCTAAATTCTAGCCACATCTTCAGCCCAGCTCCCTTGACAATTCTGTGGTTCAGTTACAACTGCCTTTTGTCAGATCTTCCAGGGTACCAGGCCTGTCTCATGGCTCCAGCAGCGTGATAGCACAATGGCAGATTTCAGGGGGTTTAGTTCTTAGATTAGGCATCAAGCCCATGTGTCTTAGATATAATCAATTCAACGCTGCATTTGCAAAGGATTTCCTAACTCATGATTTGGTCAAATCACTGCCTCTAAGCCTCTCCTACATTGTCATTTTGCCTCTGCACATACCTTTTATTCTGTTTGAAACTTTCTTTGCTTCTGGTACAAACTTACGCCAGACCTCAACTTAAATGACCTCTTTTTTCATAGTACCCCATCCTCTTCTTTCAGGTAACTCAATAATCTTGTGTGACTATTTATCTCCCCCTGGGCTTGTAAGAGGCATAAATAGTTGTATTCCTCAGTGCTGCAGCTCATTGTAGAGAAAGCAGGCACGGAATCTTTGTTGCTGGGACCAATAAAGTTCACCAGAAAAAAAAAAAAATATATATATATATCAATACTTGTATATAGAAAAGTTTCCCCTTCTATACATGAAAAATCAGAGAACATTACTCCAGCCAACCCAGTGACAAATTTAGGCAATGTCTGTTTTAAGCCAACATCCAGGGGCACAAAGAAAAGGAAATTACCTGCCTCAAAGACTGTGCTTTTGTATCTCTGCCCTTTTCTACACTCTCTGGAACTTACTCCCTGTCATTTGCCTCCCACTATACACAGATGGCTCTGGAGCAAAACTAAACTTTGCGTAGAAAGAAAGATTTGAAGAAGGTCAAGGAGATGGGGGGACTTACTGTGAGCCGAAGAGGTACAGCCTGGAAGCATTCACTCATCCGGACTCTTGGCAGAGCGCTCCTGCTGGGTATATCCTCCTACCAGCCTTCCTGTCTGCTATGTGAGCCTTTGGGTCAGTTTCCAATGGGCCAAGCTGCCCACATCAGCTCCTGGTCCTCATTGTGCTTCCACGTTGGTCTCGTTGGTCTCTGAAAGGAGAACTAATGCCGCTTTCTGTTTGGAGTCTAAGTTTGGTCTTATTAGCCTGTTAATGCCACTGCTGACTCTAGCCACCTCTCCCAACAATTTAGGAAGTGTTTACTATAGAGCCCTGTCCTTCCCTCCTCCTTCCGTGAGTGTTTACAGAATATCCCTAAGTGCCATGCGGCAGGCTGCATTCTCTGCCTGTGTAGACTATGCAGATGGAGAGTTTCTTTTGAATTTTGTTAACTACTTCCTTACTGTCTGGCTTTGTCTTCAAGGTTCCTCTCCTCAGAGAACGGTCTCTTGTCCTTCAGAAGCCCATAGTTTCTGTTTGCAGATGAAAGTGCACTCGTAGGAATTCTTGAAGAGAGACCCCTCTGTGTTAAAATGTTGGCTGAGGGTGTGGATCAGTGGTAGAGCATTTGCCTAGCGTGCACGAGGCCCTGGCCGTGATCCCCAGCCTGAACAAAGAAAGTGTATAACTTTGCTTTTTAATAGCCAGACACGGAGCTACTGAAGTATGGGGAGGGCGTGGACTCTGCTCGGTCAGAAGCCCTTGTGCATGAAGTTTATTCCGAATTTCCACCCTTCTATTGCTTGAGGTTGTCACACAATCAGAGCTTTTTCTCCAGAATTCTACTGGGTGACTTGTCTTCTGAGTAAGACGAACAGAGTAAGAATGGTCACACTGCCAAATACTTTTGTACTCTTGAATTTATTAGCATTCTTCCCCCGCTCCCCTACGCCATCCTTTTATGGCAAAAAAAAAAATTTTTTTTGGCTTCCAAATTAAAACCAGCTTTCTGGACATTTTTATGAAAACCCTTGATAAATGATAACGATGAATCTAAGAAACCATTGAGCAGGCATCTTCAGCTCTGTCTTTAGAGCGTGTGAGGTGTCATCGCCCCTCCTCGGCATCTTCACCCTTCACAGGAATGCCATGCGGAAGAGTCCTCCTCAGCTCATGTGAAAAACGTGTCCTGTGAGATCTGCCAGTGATGCACACATGTGAACCCTGCCGTTCCAAACTCCCCTTCACTTTTTAAGCTTGCCTGAGTTCTTAGGATGCATTCTTCCCCTTCTCCTATGTAGAGAAACTATCCCCTCCAATTCTAATCTGGCAAAACCAATATGGGCATAGCAAACTATGCCCGGAAAGTGACAACAAGTGGGGACCAGACTATACAAGTTATCAAGGAATAACTTTACAAGGTACCAAAGTTTGACCCTCGCGTTCTTATACTTTAGCATAACCTATCTTCTTGGAGGGTCTTGAGTAGGGGGAGGAAGTAGGGAGAAGAAAATACTGAGAAAGCTCTTCTAAATCCATGGATCCTTCTAAATTCTGATGGAAGAAGGGCAGAATCAGAGATTTGTAAACTAGGAAGGGGCAGAGTTGAGAGATCTGGTTCACTTCCACCTCTGCTTGTTTCCCCTCATAGCATTCCTCAAAACTGGCGTCCAGCCACAGCTAAAGAAAAAAAATGTATATATTTAGAGGACAATGAACTTAATTTTAAATCCCTAATAGGTGTTTCTCAAAGAATGCTCTGTAGACGCCCTGCATCAGAATCTCCTGAGATCTGTGGAAGTTTCTGGCTTCTCCAGATGGAATCCTCAGGCCTGGGAATGCAAGCCGCGACTCTGCCCACAGATGGGCCTTACACATACTGAAGACTGAGACCCTACATTCCAACATGCACCTACCAGGCGGGTGAGAGGACTGGGCTCCCCCCTGTATTTACCAGGGCAGGGGAAGGCCTCTTTGTGCCTTAGCTTGAGCAGTCCATGCTTGCAGGCATTTTAACAGGAATGTGGCAAAACAGCTGCTCTAAACCTACCCCTGACATTTTTTTCCACATCACCCTCAGCGGGGCCAAAAGCATTACTGAAGCTGGCTGAGGCATAGATTTCTGGCTCCTGATGGAAATGAAGAAAAGGAGCCCCTCCCTAGACCAAGGAGCAAAATGAGCAGAATATTAATGTTGCCCTGGGTGCTAGTGAAATTATGTTCCAATCCCTCAGGCGGTCTAGACAAGCTCAGTAAAGAAAAAAAGCTTGGACGTTAATGAAAATCTGGAGAAAAAGATTTATTAGGAAGCAAAAGTAAATACATCTGCGCTATGCGAAGTGTATAAAACTTGATTTGTTTGATGATTAAAAACACAAAAGTAGAAGGATGGTCCCAAACACAGAAATTTAGAAAGGAAAAGTGAAAGGAATCCGGAGAGAATTCAAGCTACAGTAATGAGCCTTAAAGATTTAACCATTTCACGCAGAGCAGACATTGTATTTTTAGAACGCGGCACATTGTGCAAATCGGGTTGAGCGTTCCGTGAGCCTCTGAGCTCAGTGCACAAGAGTCTTCTGTGTGTGTGTGGAAGGGGCAAGAGCCAGAAATGACACATACCTAGAAAATGACCCAGTGCTAACCAAGGCGGACAGAGAAGCCCATTCTTCTTCCACAGGGGTGGGGGAAAGGCTCAAACACACCTCCCTTGACCTCTTCCTCCCTCCCTCCCCCAAGGAAGCACTTTAGACCAAGGAGCAGAAAGGCCAGATTGTAACGCCTACTCTGCTACCACCTATGTGATTCTAACCACCAAAGCCGACAAACCCACTCTGGATTTCTTCGTCTATATGAAATAGGGTGTTTGGGTTGAAACCCTACTTTAAAATTTGTGAACTCCCCCCACCCCCCATTTTTGGTCACCACAAGTGAATGTTTATTCATACTTAATGTAAACTGTTTATTTTAGGGGGAAAATCAGTAAAATGGCTTCTTTCAGTTACACACATGTGAAGCAAATGCTGTCAATCTAAACAGGTTGTTCTTCTGGCTTGGGAATGGAAAGGGCTGATTGTAAAGCTTTGGATCCGATTTCTAGCACCAAGTGTGAGTATGTTTACCTATATTTTAATAGTAGGGAAAGAAGACCTTTTCCCTAGATGTGTATAAACAGGAGATGGAACACACTGAAAACTGCTGCTCCGGATTACTGTTGGGACAGAGTTTTGCTTAAAGAAGATAAAGAGGAGTGGAAAATCTGGTGGAGAAGTGGGTGGTAGCAGCAGGGTGTGGGAGTCAACTGACTGCAGAAGGGGCCTCCTCCTGCCTCTGGAGGTTCTGCTGGGCAACAGCAGCATGGGCAGAGCTACAGCGTGCACCCTTGCCTTGGGGGTCAGGCTGCTTCACAGTAGTTCTCCAGGGAAGATTCAGAGCAGTGGACATCGGCCTGAGGGAATCCAGGTGGGAGAAGGGAGACTCACTTTGTCTCTCCATGGGAGGCAGCCTTCTGTGGCTTCACAAATAATAGACACGTGCAAATTGGTGGGAGTTGTGTGTAGCACACCTGTTCCTCAAGAACCACTTCTGGGACAGTAAACACTGAGAAGCTCAGCAGGACTGTTCCACATACGCCAGCTGGCCCGGGGAACAGCTGAACAGTCATGACCAGTGCAGCGTTGCCTAATGACGTCTAGACTGGGGGACAGGATTGCTCGAGACCCAGATAGGAAGGCTTTACTCACCTGGCATGACTCCCCGTCCTCTGGGAATCCAGACACCAACACATACTTGCAATCCTCCAGTCTCCACAGATTGCCAGCACCTCTAAAGTTAGGCAGTTGCTTTCTTTCCTTGAATTCTGTTATTTGCTGTCTTGTTACTTCTTTATAGTCCTTTAAGAAGGGGATGGAGTGACTTTTTACATGGCTTCTTCCTTCTGTAGGGGCAGAGGCTTATGTTAAGGAAGTCTCTAACTGCTGCCACAATGCCTCACTCAGAACAGATGCTCAATACCTAGAGTCAGGTCTCAGAGACTTGGATTTGTATTTTAGTACTATGTCATCTTGAACAAATTACTGACTTCTAAGACTCAGTTTCTGCCCCTGAAAATGTTGGTAATAATGCTTATCCCATGATGCTGATTTAATAACTAAATGAAATCGTCATCATATGCCCAATGCACAGTAAATGCGTGACAACAGTTGTTGAGTAGGGTTTAGAGGGAGAACCACCAGGGTCTGAGGCTGTAGCGCTATAAGTAATGAATGGTTTTCTCCTTATCCATCCCTTCAACTTGATCCTTCTACATCCCAAGCTCTGTGCTCAGAAACCAGATAGAAAAAGCTGTGTGTTCTTGGAATTCACTGTTGACTGATTTTATTTTCTTAAATTAGCATTTGGTCAACATATGGCTCATTGGTGAAGAAATATAATGGACTTTCTTATCAACATAACTGACAATTAAATCACCTGTAGCACATCAAATCAGCATCATTATGTACCAAATGTTCAGTACTTAAAACAGAAGCCAATCTTAATCTTTACACAGGGAATAAATCATGAATATTGCTAAAACATATTGATACTGTCAAAAGCCTGTCCCTACATCTTATCTGTTGAGGCCGGGGATTTAGCACAGTGGTTCGGTGGCCTGCCTCACAAGTTCAAGGTCCCGAGTTCGATCCCTGGTACCAAAAAAAAACAAAAAACATTTTATCTGTTGAAAGTTTCACAGACATTGCACTTTCTACTTTATTTATTTATTTATTTTGCTTTTTGAGACAGGGTCTCACTATGTAGTTGAGGCTGACCTGGAACTCACTGTGTAGCCCGCTGGTCTCTTCACTTTCTACTTTATTTATTTATTTATTTTGCTTTTTGAGACAGGGTCTCACTATGTAGTTGAGGCTGACCTGGAACTCACTGTGTAGCCCAGGCTGGTCTCAAACTCACAGTGATCCTCCTGCCTCAGCCTCCAGAGTAATGGGATTATAGGCATGCGTCCCCATGCACAGCTTTCTACTTTTAGGTATATGTGCTGCCAAAGTGAGCACTAGCTTTCTATTTTTTAAATAAATTGTTTTAAAAATTTTTCTCCCTACAATCTTCTTGCTAATCACGCTCTTTGGGCATGATTTGATAAAATAGCACTGTCAGCATTTGTGAGCCTGCTACACAAATATCTTATCTCAAGGAAAACAAAAGGACTTTACTCTCCAATGAAATTCTTTATGGTCCCTGAAACTTTGATTTACTTACCATAAGTTAGCAATGTATTCTGTTAGGATAGCATATATTGTTCATTCTCACTAGTATTTTAGAAATATTTAATCCCAGGATTGTGAAAGATTAATACAATCGATACAAATTAATACACTAAAAACCAGGTTAAGCAAGTAATTTAAGAATATATTAATGTTTTATTATGGCATGTGAAGCATAATGCTCCTATCTCAATTTTTTCTTATGTACGATTCCTTAAAAATGATCTTTTGATCCTGAGACAGAGTGGGACTCTAATTTTAGTTACATGAAATTCAGAAGTTGCACTACCCTCAAAAGGAATAATTTCTTTAAGGGATGCTGTCACAATATTAGAAATATCAGTGTCAAACTGCCAAACTATTCCTCAGTCAGCTGCCATCCCAAGAAAAGGCTTTACTTTCAGAGAAATTTCCCATTCTTTAGTTTCGTCTGGATTTCTGACTCATGGTAAGATAGTGGGCTGGAAGTAGTTTGACAATATTGGAGGGGAAAGTTCATGTCTGCTTTTATTTTCCACACATAGATTGTTTCCCAGCCAAGATGTGGTGACTGGATATCCAAGGCCATTCAGCTCCTTTGAAAGTGAGACCCATGGGCATACGGGGTTTCCTGCAGGGAAAATTCTAATTGGCTTTAAAATGGCCTGCTAGTTGTTCTCGCCAGGATTGTCCCACATATCTGGAAATGTGTGGGAAACAGGATGGTTGGTACAGTGATTGGCAGGCAAGGAAAGAGGAGGGAGAGGCTGTTGGAATTCAACAGGTTGAAATGAGAGATGCTGAAATTTTTTACCACATGTGTTAGTACTTTGAAAGGAGAAGGAGGGGAAGAATTGTACAGGCTGAAAGTCATTTCCACCTTCTGTTTGAGAAGCATGTTTTCCCCCAACAGAAGTTGTGGAAAACTGGGTTTGGCTTGTTGAAACAGAGGACCCTACAAAGATGTGGCAGGACTTACCTTTCTCTGGTGGTTTGGGCCAGCATGCCCAAAAGAAGAAGGACTTCTTTAGGCAATGCAAAGATGTGGGCCAATATTTTCTTCCCTCCCTCAGGTCAGAGAGACAATGTTGGCAGCTATTCAAATATTGTATTTGAAGAATATCCAATTTCACATTTGGAAATACCCATTAGAGACATTTCTATATATTAAAATACTGTCTCAGAATTAAAGAGCAATATGTTACTGGTATCATTCTACCTTTTTTTTTTTTTTTGGTACTGGGGATCGAACTCTGGTCCTTAAGCTTGCGAGGCAAGCAGCGGAACTACTGAGCTAAATCCCTGGAAAGCAATATGTTACTGGAAGAGTTAGAACCAGAACATACCATAGTACGGCTCAATTTACTAGATGAATTACTGTCTGTCACTTTGGAAACTGATCTCTAAGAAAATAAATTATAAGCAAATAATTCTGATATAGGCATAATAAAAGAACGAATTCTAATGAGGATTGGGAAAAAAAAGATATCAAAGCATGAGAAAGCAGCTACATAATTCTGTCCATATTCTCACTACGATAGTCTAAGAAGAAATATTTCAATACCCAAATAATCTTACCCTTTTGAAGGAAGAAATGGTATCTTTTCTAGCTGCTTAATTCCAAAATGCTTTGCATAATGAACACTCGATACATTTTGACAGTTAAAGACTCACAGCAATACTGTATCTTGGACTGGCTTGCCAGAAAACTCTCAGATCCTAGGGTCAATAAAATACACACCCACACAATAGTTTGTTTTGTACTACAGGCTCACAGTTCAACTTTTATGAACATGAGCACACAAGTTGCTTTCTTTTAGCGTGAGGGAGACTCCAGGTGTTTCAGAGGAAATTGAACCCCAATGAAAACGACATGGACTTTAAACTCCGTGTCATCGTTTGGTGTGTGAAAAGATCAGGTCACATCTGCCTATTTTATGTAGAACCACAAATGTTAAGATTTGAAACAGAGCAAATGAAAAAAGTCTTGATCAAACAATGACCGAAGACTACCCTTGAATTTGGTGTTTTTCTCATTTAATATGATAATAGAAACAGGGAGAGTATTCTTAAAATATTATAGTAAAAAGGTGAGTAAGATACGACCATCTTATTTTAACATAAATATTGAGCTCTGAAAGGACATGAAGGATTTAGGATCCATATGAAAGCCTATTGCTGTATCTTATTATAAAACACAACAGGTACACAACATGTACTGAAAGTACTGAAAATATACTCTATACACGTGAGAAATTTGATAAAGTGCAAAATATCAGCACTGTGAACCATTATTCTCCTTAATTCTTTCTTTTTTTTAAGGTCACAGTTTTGGGTCTAGAGAACAGAGATACACTAAGCTATGCCTTTCTGCACTAGAAGAAGATGCCCGAGTGTAGGAACAGGCAGAGCCCCCCTCCCAACTATCCCTGAGCGTAGGGAATAAGGTTTGGCAAGTGAAATTGGGCACGGGGTTCAGCCCCCACTGCTCACCAGTGTCTGCATGGTGCTCAGACTGACAAACTGCCTGTGCTGCCCTACCCATGTCCCCTAGGCAGCCTCCTCACCCCCACGGTCAAGCTGTAATTGAATCCTTGCATTTGAAGAGGCTGTGTGGACTCCTTAGCACCCCTTTTCTGATTTCCTTTTGTCATTTCTTACATGCTTACCTCCACCCCATTCTTGGGAGAGACTTCTGAGAGCCCAAGGAGTCTAGGAAGGACACATTATTCCCAGGTCCTACTGGCCGGCTGAGATGGCAAGGAACACTGTTCATGACAGGTGAGGAACGAATGAATGAATACATTTTACAGCTATATGTAATTATCTCACTGGTTAAGTAATCCATGTTTATATCATTTAATTAGTGGCAAATCCAATATTAAAATCCAATATTAAAGTAATTTCTGTGCTATTGTTCTTATCAGTTATCATACAGGATTTCAAATTCCAGGTTGGCTTATCTTGGTCCATTTTCTAGGCAGCCTCTCTCACCAAACTAGTCTTCATTTTAACCTGTACAAAAGTAGAACTAGTTAATCAAACTTGCCAGGGGAAAATTTTTCCTTGATATTCTATAACTAAAGAAATTACAGATGGATTATTGGCCTTTTAGGAATATCTTGACTGTGTTTCTCCAGAATGTATTAGTACCTCATCAAACTTAAAAAAGGTAAGAATGAAATATTTGGTTCTAAATTTTTCTCTTTAGTTCTCTGGGGCCATTTGAAAATGTTACACAGGTTTAACATTAACTTTTGTTTCAATTTCATTTTCTGTCATCTCTCAAACACATTAATTTCTTCTCTTTAATGTTTGTACTGTTAATAATGAAATGGCTTAAAATGTCTGTGGACCAGATGGGCTAATGATAGTAACAATTATCTGCAGACATTTTTATATTTTTTATACTGAAAGAAGAGAAATGATATTCCTGAATTTCAATATTCTGACTGTGGTAAATTCCATTAGTCAGGGCTTTGGGCTCAACACATTTTTTGTTTGTACAGCAAGATTGATTACTAAGACTTCTCTGTTAAAACAAATTTGCCACCAGTGTGAAAAAGTCATTGATTACAACTAATGCCCCCTAATAAATACGGCAAGAACAGTAGGAACAGGAATCTGCTATGTTAAAGACATGATTGTAATAACATGTAGATGTAATAACGTAGATGTAGAGAAGTGTGTGTGTGTGTGTGTGTGTGTGTGTGTGTAGAGAGACAATGAAAGAAGAAAAACTGAAAATAATGCAAAATGTCAATATTGTTGACTCTCCTAGAAAAGTATGAGTGCTCTTTATATTTTTCTTTCAAATTTTTTATTAGTTCAAAAATAATATGCTAAATGAAAATGTAGTTTGTTAGAAGTTTTCTGTGGAGCCTGGGTCTATAAGCTGGAGTCCAAAATAAGGGATTTGGTCTATAAAATTATTCTGCCCTCCATACTTAATATAATAAGCAAGGTGGTAAGTCAGAGGAGTTAAGCCTTTAAATTTTGGATGAAATTAGTAGATGTTCTATCTTGAAAGCAGAATCAAGTTTTCATTTGTTTACTCAGCAAAGGTTTTTGATTCCTCATAAGGTTCCAGGATGCTATATGCGCTATAAAAACATCCATGAGCAAGACAGAAAGATCCTACTCATACAGCTCACAGAATATGGGGCAGAAACATCCACAGACATGTAAACGCAGAAATAAACAAAGCAATTTCATGCAGAAAATGCAGCATGTTGTGTTAGCAGGTACCCAGGGTGGGAGAGCATGACTTTAACCTGAGCCGCAAAAGATGGCTTTGAGTAGTCGACAGTAAAGTGAACCTAGGGTGGCCAAAAGACTGCTCAAGGCAGGGAGACACAGCAAGCAGAAGGTGCAGCTGGTGCAGTAGCAGAAGTGAGATGAGCAGAGCTAGTGCACAGGAAACAAGGAAGACAGGAAGTGCCCTCATGCTATGGTTTAGCTCTAAAATGACCTCCAAAGCCTCATGCATTTGTGAGGTGGCTGGATTTGGCGGGCTTATCGCTGACTTGCTGTTAGGAGGTGGAGTCTGGTTAGAAGCTCAGGTCAGTGTGGGCAAGATCTGAGAGAATATAACTTCCTTGCTTCTTTCTACCTTCACTCTCTCTGCTTCCGGTCCACCAGGCAGCTTTCGTCCACCATGCCCCTCTGCCAGCCTGTCCAACCTTGGACCAAAAAGCCCACTGTGGACTGAAACACGATCCAAAAGAGTCCTGTCCTCCCTGAAGTTGTGGGTGTTAGGTATTTTGTTCTAGCAACAAGAAAAGTGACTAAGACACCCGGAAAGGGCTGTGTAACGGGAGCCTCTGGAGGGTATTCAGGAGGGAGTATGTCATCTGAGGTGCCTACTGCAAGGAGGACAAGCTGAAAGGGGCAAAACGTGGCACCAGGGACCCTAGAAAGCTATTGCTGAAGTTGCAGGTGAGAGATGATGGATTGGTCTAAGGGTGGAAATGGAGAAAGGTGGACAAACTTGGATACATTTTGAAGCATGAATTGCAAAGACTCAGGGATGAACTATGAGGCACAAGGGAAACAGAACAGTATCTTGACTGTGAAAAACACAAAGTAAATGAAAAACCCAAAGTAATTTCAAGACTTAACAACCAAAGGTCCGGCAGCAATTTCAGTTGTACCATAAAAACGAATCGGATGTGAATGTGAATATTTTATTTTCACACCTCCTACCCTTTGGGGGATCGATCCCTTGGGAAGTAGTTCCAAACATGGGGCAAAAAAAAGAGGCTGTTGTAGGAGACAGCCCACAACCCACAGAGAAGGCAGGCTTCACCGTGCCAAGGAGGGGACCCAGGACCCAGAGAGAACAACAAGGCCAGGTCCTCTATCACTTCGGTTCATCTGCCTCACCCTGGTACCACAGTGAGGTTTCAAAAATATATTTTGAATTTCTGAAATGATTGAGAGTCCAACTGGAATGGAATTTTCTCCATTTAATTTTATGCATTTTCCCAGAACCTGGCAGGATTCCTGGATTCTGAAAGTCAAGAGTAAATATCTCAGCAATAACTTTTGGGGATGAGCCTTTGCCAACAGGAATGGTTTCTGAGACGAAGTTGTATTTTACCCTATTCTGAAATGACATGTTTCAGTCTCCTTATGTGTTCAGAATGGGTGGGGCAGTGAGACATACGATTTGTACTCCCAGCAATGCAACAACATGTGTTTTACTATAGTTTTATTTGAAACCATTAAATTTATAATGACGTATTAAACACCATGCAAGAAAACCTATTTTTTTGGTCTGAGTTTTAACTAAAAAACCATTATCAATCTGAAAGACGAGCTATTTTAATAATTCTTGAACCATTCCCTCTCATTTCATAGTGCTCAAGTTTTTGTCTGATTATGGTCCAGATGGTAGAGATTGTATTTAGAAGACATATTTCTAAAATTCAATTTGCCAATTTAATTACTGATCCAAGAAAGATTCCCTAACAAGAGAGTCCTATGGTCTGGTGTCCTCCTATATAGTTAACACCAGACAGACAAATGGTACTAATTTCTTTTGGCTAAAGTTCTTTCACTATGAAGATAAGGATAAGGATGGAGATGTTGTTCTATGCATCCTAGCTACTAAATCCTCAGATGAGTGTCCATCTTAGGTCAATTTGCTTCAGTCATTTTCCAAATTGTTCTACACTCTGTTCATTTTACATGTTGCTCTATTTACAATAATGTAATCCTTTTTGTTGGGAGGTAGTAAGGATAAAAGTATTACCCACATTTTTTTAGTTGAGAAAAATAAGTCTCAGCATAAAAGTAATAGTAAATTGTCTTAGCATACTCAGTAAATAACAGAGTAATAATTCAAACAAACTTTTCTGACCAAAAGCTAGAGCTGTCTTCTGCCCCAAACTACCTCAATAAAACAACAGTATGAAACAGCAATTTGTTTTACCTTGAGCAGTGAGGATAGTCTAAGAGTCTAGCAGGAAAAATATCTTCATGTCCAAGTCCTTGGAGACCGCACTCACTCTCCGCTTGCTTGTGATTGTGACTTGAATTCACAAAAGAGCAAGGAGAAGGCAAGTAAGAAGACCAGGCTCTCTTTCATATTCCCTCCAACAGTTTCTTCTGCCCGCTAAAGAGAACGTAATAGGTAAGAAGTTGAGAAACAGTCTACAGCTAGCTCCTCAGGACAACTGGATGATTCTTATAACGATGACCAGGTGCCAAATAGGTTTGAAGTAACAAAATATGTAGTGTGGTTGGCTATGATGGCCAAAACCCATAATTCCAGCAACTCAGAAAGCTGAGGCTAGAGAATAAGAAGTTCTAAGCCAGCCTCAGCAACTTAGCAAGACCTGGTCTCAAAATAAAACATAAAAGGACTGGGATATAGATCAATGGTAGAACTCTTGCTTATCATGTAGGAGGCTCTGGGTTCAGTCCCCAGGAAAAAAATAAAAACAAAACACATAACAAAATTCCCCAAAACCTAGTACTATTGGGGAATAAAGGGTCTTGATTCCTCTACAATGTGGAATCAAGATGAATACACACATTTCTATTTCACACAGAAGATAACACAGTTAGAATAAATTAATTAGCAATTAATTAAGCATTAGTGAAAATTATGTCAACTTACACCTAAAATTTGGTAATTAAAAATTTTAGCTCTATATTAATGTGTAATTATTGTATTAATTTTTGTATTCCAGATGGCATTGGTACAGTGTCATTTTAAAATAACAAATATTTTTACTCTAAATGTTCTGGAAGGTTTATGGATATTAGTTCTCTTGTCACCATACTTTGTGTCATAACCTGATTTGCTTAGATGAGGCATTCACAGACTCAAGATTCCCCAGGGCCAGGCAGGTGACCCTAAGCAGACTGGGTGTAAGTACACATCCACAGATTGTGTGAATGACTAGCGTGCCCCACTGTGCAAGTGGGGTGGCTGGATTCAGCTATTGCCAATTATTACCTTAAGGAAATGCAGACCCAGTGATTGCTAGAGCTTCTGATATTTCAAGAAAAAAGTGAAAATCTGTATTTTTATGTAGACACTTCTAATTATTCAATGTTGGCTTCCATTTGAAATGATCAAGCCAACAAGCCATTACAATCCAACAAAATATGGCTGCTGGCCACCAATCCAATTTGTTACTTCCTGTTCTGATCACGTGATAAGATGTGCATTGCCCCCTGCTGGTAGATTTCCTCAATTTTAGCTTTAATTTTAAGAGATGAGATAACAGCGCATTTCAATGTTTGGCTGTTTTGTGTGAGAAATATGGTCCTGCTGGGTGGGAGAGCTGCCCACTTCCAACATTTGTGCCAAAGTGTCCTCAGCTTGGCAGGACAGGACAGAGTTAAAATTCAGTCCTGAAATGAGAATTGACGATTCAAATACTGAAATGTTCAATAGCATATATATATTTATATGATGATCAGTCCAGTGAGTTATTTGTAAGCATATATTATCAAATATTCAAGGGGAATGTTGGGCACAGTTAAAACAAAGAGTGCCAAGAGCCCTTGTGCCTGCAGGATTGAGCATCTGGACAATGACTCACTCAGGCAGCTGTCCAATTCCCCAACTGGTGCTACAATAAACCTGAAATACAGTTTTCTCCTCTGTAAAATGTGGGGGTAGTGTACTACCTGCCTCAGAGGGCTATGAGGACTACTGTCCTTAATACACTTTGAAGGGGAGGGGGATTCTCACCGATGTGTTCAAGGAACCCAACCTACTGCCATGCACTTGCATGAGGACAGGCAGGGAGGACTGGCTTATTTTCTGTGCATACCTTTGCCCCAGACTGGGTGTGGTTCTTCTGCAACTTCCTCATTGTCTCCTTCAAGGTTGATTTCTTTTAACCTGACTTTCTCACATAAAAATGTTTGGAGCACACAGTTATTTGGGTTGGTTTCCTCCCCTAGCCCAAGTTCAACCCTGTATTTAAAGCATGTGAAAAATGTGTCTGCTTGAAAAGAGCTTGAATACTAATTTGTGATGGAAAGTTACAGGAGCCCGTTAGAAAAGAAATGTTAAAAAGAACCACCTTTCACCTAAGCATTGTAAGTACCTTAATATGGACTTTGTTTGCTTGCTTTTTCTTTTTCTTTCTTTTTTATTTTTTTCTGAGAAGGGCAGGAAAGTTTCTAAAGTTCTAAACAAATAACTTAACATAATAAATTACTGGGCCTGGGCATTTAAAAAATTTCAACATAAGAAATTCCCTTAATGAAAAAAAAGTCTTATGGATTGTATTGGCTGGCTTTTTGTTGCTGGGATATAATATCTGAGACCCACAACTTAAAGGAGATGAGGTTTAATTTGCCTCATGGTTTCAGGGGATTCAGTCCATGGTTGGTTGCTTCGAGGCAGAAATATGATGCGGGGGAGGTTGTGGCAGAACAAAAATGCTCAATTCCTGGAAGCCAGGAAGCAAAGCAGGGGAACAGAGCCAGAGAGGAAGAGGGCAGGAGAGGGGTCAGATGTGGTACCCACGGTTATGCCTGCGTGACTCACACAGACACACCCAAAAATGTACTTTACTAATTTCCTGGGCTACTCTCAAGCCAATCAAGTTGACAATTCAGCTTAACTGTCGCATAGAGATTCACTTTTATATTTTCCATATTGAAATGTTAGAATATAATGAAAAAGAAGACTGCTAAAAATTAAGATCTCATTTTTGTCATGAAAGTTTTTAGATGAATAGTAAAGTAAGAAAGTGTTTATTTAAAAAACAGGGGATAGGGCTAGGAATTTAGCTCAGTGTTTCTGCCACCTGCCTTGCCAGTGCAAGTTCAATCCCCAGTGCCCCCCAATAAATAAATAAATAAATGGGATAGCATATTAATACAAAGTATGAAATGAGATAATAGACAATGTAAATAATTTTGTAAATAAACATTATAGCTCTTACATATTCAGTAGATTTAGCAGAAAAAAGTTTTGTGTTAGTTTAAACGCTACTGCTGTTGTTCAAATGGTTTTTGGATTTCCTCTTAAACAATCTTCAAATCCTATTCATTTTTAGAAGTTCTCTCATTAGTTTACAGTCATGCACAATATTGAAGTCACAGAGTTAAGCAGAGCATCTGATCATTACATAAAGGTGATTTTTGTGGGCCAGGAAGCAGAATGAAATGGGAAGTAATGAAGACATTAAGAAAGTTTGTTAGGGAGGCAGAGAAATTGAATGAAGACTGAGTGAATACACAATCAATTAATCACAACATTTCAAAGATATATAAATATATAGCCTCAGAGATGTCATGAAATCTTTATGACAAAATATTTTCTCTATCTTAAAACAGTATAAATGATACAGCAAGATACCCATCCTTCAAATAAATGTGATATTTTAATAAAACAGTGAAATCATAAAAATATTTGATCTTATGTAGAGACTCCAAGGTCTGGAGATATGAACAAAGTAAAGTAAGTCAAACTATTGCAGGGAACAGATGGAAGTTTCCCCCCTGAGATAATCGTGAGCAGAATTCTTGGTACCTTCCTGGAAAATTTTTAGTCCATCCATCTCCTCAAATTTTTGGAAGAGAGAAATATTTATGAAATGAGTTTGTACAAGACTGGCTGCAGTTCAACTTTTGCAGAAACAAGCTGCTTATCTAATTCCTGTCTGAAGGGCACATATTTTTATTGGTGGAAATTGTAACAGCCATCCAAATCCAGCACTCCCTCCTTCTCAGTTGAAAAACATACAGTCTTGAGGTAGCCCCACTGAAGACTTTTAATAACACTTTATTAGCTATTTCTATTATGAAATACATGTGCAGTAAAGAGAAATACACAGGGAAAGACACACATACATGTAATGGAAACAAAAAGGAAAATATGTTAGCATATTCACAATAAATAGCTTTTAAGTAGTCTACTTAAAGAAGGTCAGACTTAGGTTTAAAACACCTTATCGCACTTACAGATATACACGAAAATATTGTCCAAAGGTTAATTCTTGCTATAAAACCCAATCCTGAGATTTGGTTTCAAAGAGGCTTCAGCCTTTTGTTCTTCACTGAAAGGAAGATAACCCAGTATCACAAAACTATGCTAGGAGCCTTATTAGGTGTGCAAGTTTGTACCTTTCCAAAGCCCATCTTTCAATAGGCTCGTGACAGAACATGGGAGACCGTTTACTCAAGAGCGGCTTGGATTATTTGTCTTGACAGCATCTGCTGTTTTGTCTGAACATTCGTCTCCTCCACTTCTCTGCCCACTCTGCCAGCCTGGTGCGATCGTCCTGAAGTTTATTCTATTGACTTGGCGCTTTCCTAGCTGAGAGTTTCATGCATGTGCTCATCTGTGAGTCCCTTAGCACTCCATTTCATACGCACACCTCCGAGCCAGCCCCCGGTGTAACCTCCTCATCCAGGCAGAAGAGAACGGTAAAGGGAAAGTTTTGACTGAGACCTTAATGCACCTAAATGAATTGTGAATTTATAAATTTTAGAGATGATAAAAATAAAAGTTATACCTTTAGGACCTTTTCTCACATCTTTCCTATTCTCCCACCTCTCTCTCTCTCTCTCTCTCTCTCTCCCTTACTCACCCCTTCCCACTTTTTCTCTACTTCCCCTTAGATTTCATAAATAAGACAAAAATGCAAAATTTATCTTTGTGAATCTTTGTGTTAGTTACTTTTATTGTTGCTAAGACAAAATACACAATATCCAAAGTTAAAGGAGAACAGGTTTTATTTAGGTCACAGTCTGTAGAGGTTTCAGTCCATAATCGGCTGGCTCCAAGGCAGGGCGGCATGGCAGAAGGGCGTCACAGAGGAGAAACAGTTCAGGGCGGGCAGAAGGTAGCAAAGCAAGTAAGGAACCTTTAGTACCTTCTTTCTGCCCCTTTTATTCTCTATCTAGGCTATTTGGATCGGGGTGGTGCCAAACCAGCCAGTGGGCTGATTTAGTAATCACATACTCTTAATCCAGGCATCCTTAATCCTAACATTGCAACATGAACCAATCACAGACTGTAGATCCAACTACCTCTGAAAAACCCCACCTATGAGTACATGAGGCTTTGGGGGGATATCTAGCCACAAGCCATACAGGCTTATTTTACTTACCACGTTCCATCCGGTTCCATCCTTCCAT